GCCGCATGGGTTCGACTGACGCTAAGGCCTACCTGGCCAGCCCCGAAGTCGTCGCAGCCAGTGCATTGCAGGGTAAGATCGCCGGACCGGGCTGGTACCAGAAGCCGGAGGGCGTCGACAAGGTCATCATCGGCGAGGGTGTTGGTGACATCACCGCCGACATCTCTAGCAGCATCGAGGATGCTCTTGAGAAGCTGATCTCTCAAGCCGACGACCTTATTGCTGAGTCCGAGAAGGGCTTGACAGGCTCCCCTGAAGGCGAGGCTGCTGCCGCTGATGGCGAGGAGACGCTGACCGATGTTCTCCCCGGATTTCCTGAGAAGATTGAGGGCGAGATCGTTTTTTGCGATGCAGACAATCTCAACACTGATGGAATCTACCCCGTATGCCTCCCTCTGACCCGCTTGTTGGCATCGAAAAGGCCTAACCTGTGCTGCAGGGAAAATACACGTACCAAGACGACGTCACAACCGAGAAGATGGCGGAAGTCTGCATGGAGAACTACGACACAGAGTTCCGTCATATTGCCAAGGCAGGAGACGTCCTTGTTTCTTCGTACAATTTTGGTACCGGCTCCTCGAGAGAGCAGGCCGCGACCGCCATTCTCGCTAAGGGCATTCCCATGGTCATCGCCGGCAGCTTTAGCAACATCTTTAGTCGTAACAGCGTCAATAACGCGCTGATGGCACTCGAGGTTCCGAAGCTGGTCGAGCGTCTGCGCGAAGCTTTCAAGGTTGAGAAGGAGAAGGTTCTTACTCGTCGCACGGGATGGAAGGTTCTTTGGGACGTCAAGAGGAGCAAGGTTGTTGTCACAGAGAAGGACGGCGCGAGCTGGAGCGTCAAGGTCGGCGAGCTGCCGCCCAACGTACAAGGTATGGAGCAATCAACCCAGCAGCCTTTTTTGCGGAATTAGTACTAACAACTCACAGAAATCATCGCCAAGGGTGGTCTTGAGAAGTGGGTGAAGAGTCAGATTTGAAAGATTCCCATCACTACATACCAAAAAGGGGGCGGGTTACGGCACCATAAAACTTGTTTTGAGTACGATACTGGATCATGGACGGGGACTTCTTTTTTTTAGATACGGGTTCTGAAAAAAGTACATGGTAGGCCAAATTTTATGTTTCTTGATGTCCCTTGGCTTCACATTCCGCAAATCGTGTGGTTATGGTCATATTTAGGCCCTCAATCTGCTTCAAGACTTCGTTCGTCGTTTCCCCAAAAAGCACGGACTACCCACAGCTGCCCCACCTCTCCGCCGGTTCAGGACGGGGGGCGACGTTGAACTCAATTGACCCCGTTCCGCCACCACGCTCACCCGAACCGTACAGCGGAACGGTCCTTAACTCCAAAGTCCGCAACCCTTGCCCAAGGCAGAGATCATGCCATTCATCTCATCCCACCATCGTCTGTAGTAACAGCCTAAATTGGTGGCCAGTTGGCGTCATTTACTACCGTTACCGAGAACGAGCCGATGACGAGAACGAGGACGAGTCTACCCTGCCCTGCCATGCCTGTCGATCCGTAAATCGGGCAATGGCACTATATCTTAGGCGTAAGGGACGATAGGTCGGATGATTCCATTTGGAGATGGCTTGGAATCACGGCTGAGCTGGGTGTTGCTCAGCCTTGTGATAAGCTTAACGCGTTGTGACGCTTGAGAGACTTGGCATCTCTCGGCGGGCTTGTATGGGTGGCAGTCCCTCGGGAGGGGTTAAAAACGCAGTGAAGAGCGTGAGTGTGATTGGAGGTCTTGTAAGTGCACTCCCAGCGCTCGGTGGGTCAATGTATATACTATCTCACTTCTGCTCTGTGAGGGTGGTGGTCCTTCGGGAAGGGCTTAAACTGCAGTGAAAGAGCCAGCTCATCATTGCAGAAGTGAGATAGTAGATTCACTAGTTCATCGTGAAGCGTGGTGGTGGCATACCATCAGGACCTCGCTTTATTTTGCCCTGAGTGTTGAAAATGTACATTCCGTCTCTCAGGAGTGATTGGCATGATGAGCAAGCTCATGCTACGCTGGATCAGCCGCAACCACGCATTGTCAGATCACGATCTGCCTGACGCTGTCGTCGCAGCCGAAACGTAAAGTCGAAAGTTACAATTCGCAAGATTATACGTCATGAGAGCCTGTAGAAATCCACTCGTCCAACCTGTATCCCAAAACCCACCCCTCGAGCATAAAGCACGGCCCGTAAATACATCCCACGTGAAAACAATAATGAGGAACCCAAACGATCCGACGACAGAGTTGTGAATCCCGTTTCGTGAATCCCGTCCGGATCGTCGTTGTGGATATGTTGGCTGGTCTCCACACGGAGCAGCTCGTTCAGCTCGGTTTGGGAACACGAAAGCGAGAACCGAGCAATGCGAGGAACGAGCAGCCTGAACTTACACTTCTTCTCCAACAAAGGCTATCGTTTGCGAATACGCGCGCGAGTAATGGGGGCAAATACGCGGGTTATGATACCTATGAATGTAGATCCGACGAAAGTCTAGAATTATGTTGTATAAAGATGGGTTAAATGGGCTTGTGATAGGGAGGCAGTTATACGCGGCCTTTGTTGTTGTCAGGTGATGCATTTGTGCCGGCGACAGGATGAGCCGATATGAGGGGAGTATGTGAGACATGTCAGATGAACTCCGATGCGGCACGGCAAGAGATGAGCAAAGTTTCTTTTTCTTTTGTTTAACGGGTTTATGACGGCTCCTCAAACATGTCTAGGACACCTCCCTCCGGACTGGAGGGCTTATCTACGGGCTCGGCGGCGACAGCTCGAGCTTCCACTGGAACAACAGCCATGGGCCTCTCGGTGGCTACCAGGGCCCTCGCCTTCTTCTTCCTGACGAGCACATTGTGGCGCCTACTCTTGATGTGCTTCGTCCAGTCCTGCTCTGTCACGCAGGTCGTCTGGCAGATATCGCACGTCTGCCGCCGCTGCGTGACCGTCTTTTGCGACGCGACCTCCCGCAGCACCGCGCCTGCTCTCTCCGACGTGCTCGCCGGCTCGGGCAGACCGTCGCCCTCGAGATAGCGCCGCGCAATGTCGACAGCTGGATCGATTACGTTGGACGACCACTGGGAGATGTCGGTGCTGTCCATGACGAAGAGGTGGTCCATTGCGCCGGGCTGTTCTTGGAGCGGCGGGACGGTCTTTGTGCGGATCCAGCGGGTTTGGTACTTTGCGTACTGGCGCGTCGAGGCCTTCATGTCCTCGAGGCATGTCGCTTTCAGAGACTCGAGGGCGGCGGGCTCGGTGGTGTGGTCTGGGTTGTTGAGTGCTTTGAGGTAAGGCTCAAACTCCTTAAAGCCGATTGACTGCCAGATGCCACGAGTGTAGTCCACCTCCTCGCCAGCGGCCTGCTTTTCCTGGACATACTCGTACATCGACTGGGTCTCGTCGTTGAGACCGGCCGTGAGCATTTTGTCCACCCGCTTGTCGAGGCGCTCTTTCAGCACCTCGGGATCCGAGTATACCCAGAAGAGTAGCGTCTGCCACGCACCAGCACCGGACGCCTTGGCCTCGGCCAGCTTGCGCTGGCTCTGTTCGGCGTAGATTTCGGATGCAGGGCGCCCGTTCTGAAGGTAGATTTGCAGCGAGCGCTGGATCTTGCGCCGGTCGTTGGGGTGCCAGCGATCCGCCATGACGGGGTCGACCTCTCTCAGCTTCGCCAGTATCACCTCGGTCGGCTCTTCGAGAATCGGGAACGACTCGCCGGCCTGCTCGTCACTGACTTCGGCATCCTTGGACTTGTCGCCGTCCCCACCAATAAGGGAGTTTGCGAATAGCAGCGCATTCGTGTAGTAGTGCGTCCCGCCGACGACGATGGGCAAGTTGCCCCTGCGCCGGATCTCGCCGATGACTCTGTTCGCCTCGCGCTTGAAGTCCTCGATGATCCAAGTGGGTTGGTCAAGGCCGATGTGGTCGAGCAAGTGGTGGGGCACGCCGCGGCGCTCTTCGTCGGTTATCTTGTTCGTGATGATGGGCAGGCCCTTGTACATCTGCATCGCATCCGCGTTGATGATTTCGCCTTTGAAGCGAGTCGCAAGCTCTACAGCAAGCTTTGCGGACGTCAGCCTGGGTCGCAAGGGCGCGGGGCATTGCCCGGTCGCATCGAGGCAGCATGCGCCGCGAGAGTGGTGGTGGTGCTCACCTCTGATTTTCCTGTGCCGGTCGAGCCCAGGATGACCACCAAAGGGTCCGTGGGCGCATGTCGAGCTGTCATCTTGCCAGCAACATTGTGTAAGAACCTTCGGCCAAGTGTTGACCGAAAGATCATACCAGAAAGAATGTCCTGCCTAGCAATGACTCAGAAGGATCACAGCATCGTGGCCGTCAGAGGCTGGGTCTTGCGTCGTGCAATGACAGGTTTTTCCCCGTGCGTGTGGTGTCCGGATCGCGGGGCTGGCGTCGGTCGCCGTGGTTGGTGTTGTTGCCGATTTTTGGTGGTTCCAGGCTTCTCCAAATGGGAATGTGGCATCAGAAGGCATCGGAACGCGCCAGAAGGCCTGGGGGCAGCCACCCGCCTCCCTGCCCTGTGCTGTCCCGTCAGCTTCCCTTCCAGGCCCCGCGTCTGGACCCCTGAGGCGAAAAGCACTGAAGCACGCTTAAAAAAGGGCGCTGGAGGATTAAGGTAGCGTAGCATTGCCATACCCAGCAGCGCCTTCTGTAGACCCCAGCTCCTTACCCAGTAAAATTGCAGCTTATGTGACGGTCACGTGTGTCCCCAAGCTCCACCAATTTTTGGACACATCGACAATTTGGCGTTTTTGAAGCCAGATCGCAGCCGACCCTCTTTTTTGCCCCGAGCTCTTAGGTCCTCCTCCTCCTCTCCTTAATAACCTCCCTTCTCCCAACACCATCACCTTCCCCTTCGCCACACTTGGAGCCATTGTCGCTCTCTACCTCTTCCTTCTTGTCCCCTTCATCTGGATGATTTAGATCCTTTGGTTTTTTGTTCCTTCCCGTGTCCCCCCCCCCCCAGTGTAACAGCCCATCATGAGTTCTCGTAAGTACCTGATCCCCAAAAAGACCACCTCGACCAGCCCCCAGAATCGCGTGCTTTGCCGCCCTGTCGCAAACCTCCCGAGAGGACACGCGCGCGATATTTACGACCCCGGTCGCGATACCCGACTCTGCCTCACCAATTCGCATCAGGAGAACCACAATGGCTAACATTCGCGCTTCTCTCCCGCAGTACGGTTCCTCGACCTGGTCAAGCCGTTCGTGCCGTTCCTCCCCGAGGTTCAGCAGCCGGAGACCAAGGTCCCCTTCAACCAGAAGCTGATGTGGACGGCCCTCACCCTCCTCATCTTCCTGGTCATGAGCCAGATGCCCTTGTACGGCATTGTCTCTTCCGACAACTCGGATCCCCTATACTGGCTGCGTATGGTCATGGCGAGTAACCGTGGAACCCTGATGGAGCTGGGTATCACTCCCATCATCTCCTCCGGCATGGTCTTCCAGCTCCTTGCCGGCACCCACATGATCGACGTCAACCTCGACCTCAAGAGCGACCGCGAGCTCTACCAGACCGCCCAGAAGCTCTTCGCCTTCATCCTCTCTGCCGGTACCGCCACTGTCTACGTCTTCACCGGTCTCTACGGCCGCCCCTCTGACCTCGGCGCCGGTATCGTCTTCCTGCTCATCCTCCAGCTCTTCGTCGCTGGCATGATCGTCATTCTCCTCGACGAGCTTCTGCAGAAGGGATACGGCCTTGGCTCTGGTATCTCCCTGTTCATCGCCACCAACATCTGCGAGTCCATCATGTGGAAGGCCTTCTCCCCCACCACCATCAACACCGGCCGTGGCCCTGAGTTCGAGGGTGCCGTCATTGCCCTCTTCCACCTTCTCCTCACCTGGCCCAACAAGCAGCGCGCTCTCCAGGAGGCCTTCTACCGCCAGAACCTCCCCAATATCATGAACCTCCTGGCCACCATTGCCGTCTTCGCCGCCGTCATCTACCTCCAGGGTTTCCGCGTCGAGATCCCCGTCAAGTCCTCCCGCCAGCGTGGTGCCCGCGGCTCTTACCCTGTCCGCCTGTTCTACACCTCGAACATGCCCATCATGCTGCAGTCCGCTCTGTCCTCCAACATCTTCCTCATCAGCCAGATGCTGTACTCCCGCTTCTCCGACAACCTCCTCGTCCGCCTCTTCGGTGTCTGGGAGGCCAAGGACGGCTCCGCTCAGCTTTCCGCCATCTCCGGTCTGGCCTACTACATGTCTCCTCCCTTGAACTTCAAGGACGCTCTCCTCGACCCCATCCACACTGTCGTCTACATCGTCTACATGCTCGGTGCCTGCGCTATCTTCTCCAAGACCTGGATTGAGGTTTCTGGCTCCAGCCCCCGCGATGTCGCCAAGCAGCTCAAGGACCAGGGTCTCGTCATGGCCGGTCACCGTGACCAGTCCATGTACAAGGAGCTCAAGCGCATCATTCCCACTGCCGCCGCCTTTGGTGGTGCTTGCATCGGTGCTCTCTCCGTTGCCAGCGACCTCATGGGTGCCCTCGGCTCCGGCACCGGTACCCTTCTGGCTGTCACGTAAGTTTTTACCCCGCAATGGATACCATTTTGAGCTTCAGCTAACATCTCGCCAGCATCATTTACGGCTACTTCGAGATTGCTGCTAAGGAGGGTGACCTGGCCGGTATGAAGGGCATGATTATGGGATAATGTTACCAGTCAACGAGAACGACATACCCCTGTTCAGATATAGCGAAGCTTCTTCCTTTGTTCATGCGAGGCTTCCAGCAGCCGCTATACGGTGGCTCTCTGTGTAATATCACGGCATACATTTTTAAAAAGTCATGACGAGGTCTTTGGTGTCCCTCGTGAAGAACAAAAGCAATGGATTTCCATGGTGACGGGTTAGGTTGCATTGGGACAGGGGATTGTCATCCCCACGCGGGGTTCTGATGAGATTCAGGCGGGAGGGTTGGCCCTTGGTGGAAACATCGGGTCAGGTAGTCTTTCCATGGCCGTCGAGAACTCTAGCAGGGTGTTGTATTTAAGACCATGTATGCGAACAAATCCATTTCACGCGCCCATTCCGTGTTCCTTCTCGTTGCGTTCCATCCGAGGGCCCAGGCATCCCGTCTCCAATTTGCTCACCACAATGCCGGAGAATTGCTTCGGCGTCAAACCAAGGCGTATATATCTCGGCTGATGAACGCCCAAGCCGTTTCTGATCAACCAATCGAGAGCCAATCGAGAGCTTTCATCAGCGTTGCGTTTTGTCGATTACAGGCTTCTCCCACTGCCTACCTCGCTCAATTACCTTGCGTCAGTTGCTTGTTGCGGGTCATCAGATATCTTCGTTCAGCGGATTCGCCGGTCTTCGTCCTCGATTTGCGCATATACACAAGAATAAGTTCCTACAATGCTACTCGCACGTCATGGTCAGCAGCTTCCACGGACGTCCTTATCGCACAGTACCACGCTGTCCTGGCTACCAAAGGAAACCAGGCCGATACCCAGGTATGAGTACATCATTCTCATTTGCTGTGGTCCGTACGTGACATTGTATCCCTTGTTTAAGGGACTCGCCTTGACCGTGGCGGCTGTGATAAGACTTCGAGGACCGCGTCCCGAATCAGGTGCTAACCGCCGTGATATACATAACCTATCTGCCAGTATAAATCAGACGGGTCTGGAGAACATGGTGGCGCAGCACAATTTGAATGTCGCTGTACGTCTTCCGATTTGCAGCTTCAGAAGAGATGTGTCAGCAGTCAATCAGCGATAACTAAATAGTCAATCTTAGGACCACCGAGTTGAGGATATATAAACGCATGTTGTGCCTCGCCAGTGCTAGATTTGATCTCACAGATGTACGGGTTGCACAACCTCATGACTTACAAAAAACAAAGCCCAAGCATAACGGACCCATAGCATGAATGTCAGATGTTACAACATGAGAGACAGGGGCATCTCATGGGTTCTTCCTTGCCCAATGTTCTCTCTGCTCGTTGACGATACGGCCAGAATAATGTCTGGCTAGTGTCTTCGCGCCTTGATTTTCTCGTGCGAGTTTAGCCTCAGACGATCGACTCACGTTAGATATGAGGTCTATTTGCGCCTTTCGAAGGACGAGATGATTTGCTCGATTCATTTGACGTGTGTGGTTTTGTGAAGAGCTATCTATCTTAGCACTTAGCTTGAACATAGTTCTAGCAGCTTGCCAGACCATCTACCAGAGCATCCTAGAAAACGACTGACCAACCATTCGAGCAACTTGATAGTATCGAACTTACTATAAATAAAGTCTGCAATGCTGCTATACTACGTTGCAGCACACAATGTCGGCGAGAAGGTGTCAGGAGTTTGAAGAAGGCTGGCTTCTGACCAGGGTTTCTGAGCGTCACCAGGTCGCCAAGTCGCTTGCGACGGCTCTTGATGATGCGCAAGCCTTCATCCGTACCCGTCTCCATGAGTCCCCTTCTCTCTACGTATATTCGTGGTCGTGATTCTAGATACTCTAGTCGCTGCCTCAGTCCTCAGTTCAGTGTTGTTTCGGTGGACATAGCAACTACAGCATTCAAAGATGAACAACGTCGATTGCCCATCCCCGATCAGCAACATCATCACATCAACCAGGAACAAAGACTGCAACTTCTTCATAATCTGGGTGTCTTGATTCGACATCACCCAATAGGCATTCTTATATATAGTTTTCTGATATGGCTTGAAGACCGCCGTTTCAAAGAGCTCATGTACACCCATAACCTGCGAATGTTCGTTTTCATAGAAGTCTACTTTACTAGCCTCAGTCACTGACGGAAGTCTCTGGCTTTTCTCGTAGCACGTTGTTCCACACCCCAGCTATAATGTGAAGCCGCCTCTCAGCCTGCGCCTCCACCCGGACGCATCGCGTCGTCGATAGCAAGAGTATTAAAACGTACCTTAGATCACGAATCATCAGATGGTCTCAAACCCAAATAAGGCGAGTGCGAGCATGATCGACCTTCTGCACCAAGAAATACGGTCGTGTCTTCGGGGAAGAACCTTCAAGGCTCCGATGTCATGCTTCGTAGGCGTACGCCGACCCGAGTATACGGACATCAATGACTATGTATATGCGGAGAGAGGAAATGACAAGAAGTGTGATGCATACGGCGCATTCCATGGCGATTCGATGCTTGAACTTTACATCAACGGATAGTGATGCCCTCGAATGAATAAGCCCACAATGCCTCGAGATCTTCAGCATTGTGGGGAAGAAAAGGGAGAGAGCAGTAGACCGCGTCAGGGTATTTATACGTTTTCATGCCACCAGCTGGAAGCCAAGTACCTGGTTGGAGGGTCAACAACTTTGATCCGATTGAATATGGTCGATTTGGTCTGCCGAATGTGACGAATCCGGGTATCTCTGAAGCAATAGGCAGGAAACACCCATCACCAATCTTGAACAGGTGGTCTTCATTGACCACACAGAGTGAGCCCTCTTCGACCAAAAGAACCATGAGTCAAACGCGTCTATCATAGCCATGGGGAAAGGTTGTAAGATGCTATGCTCGTCAACATAAGTCTTCCCTCACGCTGAATCTACACAGCCTCAGACGAGGCTAATGCCGCGTAGTTCAAGCCCTTGAAGCAACTTCTGGCACAGAATAGCATATAAGATCAGATAGCAGAAATCCATTTGTATTCCTACAGCGCCAAATTACTCGCCGAGCACGGGTTGTTCTTCCACTTATTAAGGCTATGGACTCCGAGTGGCAGTCTGTGCCCGCCGCCTTGAGTGAGATGCACATTTTGTCCGGAAGCTCACCTCCTTACTACTATCAAACAGTGCCGGTTGTTATCATTTGTATGTGGCGTTTATTGAGACTCAACCTGAAGTATACCTATATAGCAGGGCAGGAGACAGATGTGTGGGAGACGGTGTTCATATCCACAAATCGCGTAAAAGACCATTAAATAAATCCTTCGTAAAACTGAAAATGACTTCCCAATACCGATGGCTATGATTTGGGTAAATAAGAGAAATTTTGGTACCACATTCAATCGTTAAATAGAAGTCTCAATTCTGGCTTTCCCGAACGATCTCCTTCCATGTGGTTTATGAACCTCCACCGCAGGAACTATATAAAATTAGCATGATCAAGCTAGATACTGTTTACACCAAATGGTCGAAACTGATCAAGATAATGCACCAGCAGTTGTTACGCCCTTATTTGAAAGATCATCCTGGGCTATAAGTTCACATCATAGTATCTGGTTTCGATCCAGCCTTTCGTACCCTCGTCTTTCGGCGTCTTTGTCGCTCCTGCTTCATGAGACCTCAAATCAACTGTGTATTCTGTCCATGGGACTTCGATTGTATAGCTTCTGGGTCAAAAAGTCGTGCGTATACGAGATACCATGAGGTTATAGGCATTCCGCCTCCTGACTTGGAGCGTGATGATGAATATCACCTGGCGAAGCATATCCGTGGCCTCTGCACTTTCTATCCGAGATGTTCTGACAAGACCGCACTTTATATGGAGATCGCCTCGAGGGACGCAGAACCAAGCACCCAAAGCAGTTCGCCTGAAGTTGGACGCAGAATGGATAACACGGAAAGCATCTCTTAGCACTCTGGATGCGCATTGCGATATGGTAATTCACTTGCCATGTGCTACATGCTAACGGGTATTCTATGTATCGGTGGAGGCTCGTCAGTAATCTCCGACAAGCAAAGTCAAGTCCTTCGATCGACTGCTTGGTATGCTCATGCCTAGTTCACATCCGTAAACTAAGGCCGTCTCTATTCCTCCGTTCTTACTGAGCCATCTATCTGCAGGCACGGGATCACGCAAGTCGCGTCATTCGTCATCACACTCTTCTACGGTGTATACGTCGAAGTCATTAGAGACATATCCGACCATGCCGCCCGGGAGCTAAGCGTGGGATCTTGCAGCGACACCTTCGAGTCCTATTTTCCGCTCTTGAAGGGCCTCAAAGAATCACGAATCTGATCAGGACCACCTTTTGTGTTTAGATTGAATCATGCGAGATCAAGCTCTTCTTATGTTGCCTCCAGTCTTTGACCAAGCGGCCCGATGAAGCCAGCCACCCGACGAGGACGGCAAGAAACCCAAGAACGAGAACAAAGATCGATCCAAGCACCAAAGCCCTGCTGCTAAGCGGTTTCGACGTTGCCCAGCCAAGTATACGCGGATCTGAACCAAACATGACCAGCCCTCGGGTGCTGTGTTCAGCTTCCAGTAACTCATAGCCTGCAAGAGACTGGCCATCCGTCTGGGAGAATAAAAAGCTAGCTAGCTGTTCGGATTCCTGCTCTCTGGCCCAGAGCAAACGATCGGCGAAGGCGGCGAAGGCTCTGCCACCTCAAAAACTCTGAGCTGACCTGTACCCTCTTCTGTGTCTGAATCGTTATCTTAATATTCTCTTCGCCCCAGAAGCGTGCCATGACAGTCGTCCCACTAAAACACCCGAATAATTGCGAGCCAATCGTGACCACAGATACTGCCCAAACAATAAGAATTAAGACCAAGAACTCGGCGCCGTCTAGTCCTCAAAGGCCGTACCAACCATAACCCAAGGTGACCGTTCAGCTTCGGCTCAGAATACTCCGCATATGGACCTACGTGTACGGATTCCGTTGCTCAAATCTCCTACTCTCACCCGGGTGTGACCCTTTTATACTTCAATGCTTCTATGCCTACCTC